GCTCACCTCGTTTATTCTTGGAAACTGAGATTATAGAGTCACCCCCGAAGGTAACTGAGGGCAAACTCTTCTACCTGGCCGTGGGTCCGGGTGCTCCAGCTGTCTGCGGCAGTTAGGCTCTTCCTGCCGGCCTCTGCCCGCTGCAATCCCATCCTCCTCCCTGACATGGGGAGCCCGTGTCGCAGGGCAGAGTGTCTCACCGCCACCCGTGCGGCACTGAATTGTTCTGGAAAGCAGCTGCCTGGTCCTGCGCTGAGATGGGCCATGGAGGGGGGCTCTCGCAGTGGAATTTGGAGGAGGGTAGGGGAAAGCATGCTCTGAAGGTGGCCAAAGCCAGGGGTCCAGAGGCTATCAGAGCTCACTGCTTCTCATGCCTGCCCACTGCCAAGCTGGGGGCGGCTGTAAGAAATTGGGGGTCCCAGGGCACCTGGGTGGCTCAGTTGGTTAAGCTTATGGCTCTCAATTTCGGCTCACGGTTTGTGAGTTCGAGCCCTGCATCGTGCTCTGTGCTGATGGTGTGGAGCCTGCTTGGGATTCTCTCCCCCCTCCCTCTGCTCCTCCCTTGCTCACATACCCATGGTCTCTCTCTCTCTCTCTCTCTTTCTTTCTCTCTCTCTCTCTCTCAAAATAAATACATAAACATTAAAAGATAAAGGGGCGCCTGGGTGGCTCAGTTGGTTAAATGTCCAACTTCCGCTCAGGTCATGATCTCGTGTCTAAAGGGTTAAGCCCTGCATCAGGCTCTGTGCTGACAGTTCAGAGCCTGGAGTCTGCTTCAGATTCTGTGTCTCCCTCTCTCTCTGACCACTCCTGCTCACACTCTGTCTCTCTCTCTCTCTCAAAAATAAATAAACATTTAAACAATTTTTTAAAAAGAAAAAAAGAAATTGAGGGTTCTGTGTGGCTCAGATCTTTGAAACACATCAGCAGAAGGCAGAAAGATGGAGAAATCTCTCAGTCTTGAGCACTGAGTACAGAGTTTTGAGTAGAGAGTAAAGGAGACCAACTTTAGTCTCTTTCACGTCCAGAAACTTACATTTCATTGCTCACTAAAAAGAATCGAGGTGGCCCAGAGAAGTGAGTCCCACCTGATTTTCAGATGGGAATCGCGTGTTATTTATCTTTGGGTTCTCACCGAGGAGAGGCAGTGCGACTGCTCTAACAGGTAAGCCATGTTACTGTAGTGGCTTAGCCCTGTAGACGTTTACTTCTCACTCATGGGGGCCCCGCTTCAGCAGGGCGAGTCTGCTTTTGCCCCCTCACCAGGTGGGGAGGGGGGCTCAGGCTGACACACTCTGCCATCTTTAGCACAGAGTTCTCAAGGGCACGGGGGGTATTGATGTCATCACTTCTGCCTCCACTTCCGCTGACCAGAACCTACCACGTGGCTCCACCTAGGTGCCAGGAACACTGGGAATCAGAGTCACTTCCCAGTGACAATTCTACACCATGGAAGGGGAGCACATGTTTGATGGTCAGCTGGCTGCCTTGACAGCATGGCCTCTGCTCAGCGTCCCATCTATAGTAGGTGCTCAGTAAATAACAAAGTGTCTTACGTACATTGTACTTGGTGGGCACATTCTTCATATGGATCAAGCTATTTTTTCCTCATAGATACCTACAAGAATGATTATTATTAAGAGCTCCATTTTAGGGGCACCTGGGTGACTCAGTCGGTTAAGCATCTGACTTCAGCCAGGTCATGATCTTGCGGTTCATGAGTTCGAGCCCCGTGTTGGGCTCTGTGCTGACAGCTCGGAGCCTGGAGCCTGCTTCTGATTCTGTGTCTCCCTGTCTCTCTGTCCCCCTCCCACTCACGCTCTGTCCCTCCCTCTTAAAAATAAATAAACATTTAAATTTTTTTTAAGAGATCCATTTTACAGATGAGGCAACTGAGGCACAGTGAGGTTTAGTAACTTGTCCAGGGTCACACGCAGTAAGAGATGGAGCCAGGAATCAAACCTTGAAGGCTGGCTTTAGAACTCACCTCCCTGCCCACCACATGATATTGCCTTTCCCTACAAACCCATGCTGATTCATGAAAGGGACCATGAGTTAACGTGCGTTGTAAAACTGCAAAATGAAATAAAAGCAGAGGTGGTTTTTATGGAAGTTTGGGGCATTTGCAGAGCCTCTGTCATCTGCCAGGCACTATCCCTCCCTCCCTCCCTCTGTCTCTGTCTCTCCCTCCAATTTCCTGTGACATTTGGCACAAGCTATGGTTTCCCATGCTGTCCCCAGTCCTGGCCTTGTACTTGGCACTTGGGAGGCGCTCACTACGCATTTTCCAATGTCTGATAAAAACACAGGCTGGGGGCCAGAGAGCAGAGAGTCTTGCCCTTCGGGCGCTCAGCATTGTAAAGACTGTAAACAATAGTGTTCCGTGTGGGGAAGAGAGGAATGGGAGCTGGACACGCCCACAGGGGGGCCACAGAAGGAATAAGTTGGGTGTCTGTTTCCTGGGGCCGCTACAACAAAGGCCACGAATGATACAAATGTATCATCTCAGAATTCTTAAAAGGAGTTCAAGATCACGATGTCTGTTCCAGACCTCTCTCCAGGTTTCTGGTGGTCCCAGGGGTTCCTTGGTGTGTAGATGGCACTCTTTCTGTGTCTTCACATCATCTTTCCCTCTCTAGGGGTCTGTCTTCATTTTCCCCTTTTTGTAACGACACGGTCATATTGGATTCGAGCCCACCCTAATGATCTCATAAATGTCATCAATCGTTTCTAACTGAGGTCACATTCACAGGTCTGGGGGGTTAGGACTCCCACATCTTTTGGGGGGACACATTCAACACATGTGCACGGAGCACCCAGGGTGTGCTGGTCAACACTCTCCTATGTGCTGGAGCGAGAGCCATGGGCAAGATAGGCAATGTCCTTCCAGAGCTTTCGTTATAGCGGGAGAGACGGGCCACAGATGCACACACATTCCAGGCAAGGACGAGAGCTAAGGAGGAAAATAAAGCAAGGAAAGGGGATAGCGCAGATTTGGGAAGACACAGCATCGTGTTCTGGGTCCTGCGGGTCTGGCGAGACCCACGCCTGGCTTGCTTGTTCATGCAATGTCCTCCCACTTGTGCTTTCATTAACTCACTTGGCTTGGGTCTGGGGAAACCCCGCTGAAAGGCACACTCTTAGGACATGTTTGTATCTTCCACACTCATTTCTGTGCACACGCCTCACCCTCTCTCTGGAATGTCCTGCCCTCCCTGTCCCATGTCACCTGGCCAGCTCTTCCTCCTAAAAGATGAGCAGGCGGTGCCTCCTTTGGGAACGTCTCATCTTTCCCGCAGACTCGAGGCTCACCCAACCCTCCCCTCCAGGCAGCCCTGCTCCCCGGGGCTGCCTGCTCAGTCACCCTTGCGGGCTATGATTAGAAGACAGAGCCGCGTCTCACATCGGATGCTCTCTAACTTCCCAGGGCGTTCTTGATAAATCCTTGTCTGTTCAGCGTGTCTCTGCTGGGAGGCTGGCTCCTTGATGACAGTCTCTCATAGCTGAAGCCCCAGCGCCCGGAACAGAGCTGGCAAATGGTTCAGCGTTGGATAAGTAAGTGTTGGCCACATCAGTGAACGAATGAACTGAAAAACATGAATGAAGGCAAGACAAGGCTCCCAGGCATACTCCCTGCTGGCCCAGGACTCCCGCCTCCACCCCCTACCCCCACCCCAGCTAGGACCCTCTGGCAGTCAGATCCGCTGTGTAATTTGCTAGAGCCACTGTGGAGTGAAAATGTGGATCCGCTTGCCCAAAACTTAGTTTCAGGAGAGCAGCAGAGAGCATTAAACCAAGGGGAAGAGGGGGTCTCCTGGGTGAGGAGCCCTCCGTTGCTGCACAGGGGGCTCACCCAGGAGGCCCACCTTCCCTCTTCCAGGCTGCCCCCCAGGCAGCTCCCCACCCCCACCCCAGCAGCTCCCTCCCCAATTCCCTGCTCGCACTCTGCTCTCAGCCACCTCTGCCCTTAGGATGCTCTTTTGCAAAAAGCTCTGGGAGGAATCTCCTCTAGCGGCATCTGAGCGGGACACCCTGGTGGACACGGTCAGCTTCAGAGGGGCTGGGGTGCTGAGGGACCGGCTGGGGGCACCTGCAGTTCCAGGGAGGCCCTGGGCAACCCCCCACTCCCTACACCTCTGCACCCAGAAGCAGCTTCCCATTCACCTGGAGGGGGTACAGAGATGATCTCTTGGGAACTGGCTCGTGGCCATCTGGGCATCTGACAGACACACAAATACACCAGATGGACAAACATAGACACACACAAAAACACACCCCCTCCCCCTATTCATAGACCTGGGGAGGAGCGCTGTGACGCTCCCCGCCCTGCTCCGACCAGACACACCCCTAAGACAGAGGCCAGACACAGAGAAAACATACCATAGAAATACACAGGGTGAAGGGCAGACGGGCGGACAGACAGACCCCCAAGGACACTCTGGTCGCAGCTCCTCTGGGACCGTCAGAACAGTGCTCGCACCTGTGGACCCCGGGCGCCCCGCGGGACCCAGCCACGCCCCCTGCGCCTACCCAGTCCGGCTGACCCAGGGTGACCCCTTGTCCCTCACCGCAACCCCAGGAGCCGGGGGCACCTGTCAGCATCCAGGGCTTCCGTGACGCGGGCAGGGCTGGGGGGGGCGGGCGTCCACGAAGCGGGCAGGGGAGCGGGGAAGGGCTGGCCAGGGTCCCAGGCGTCAGGGGCTGGGAGCGAGCCGCGTGGGTCGCAGAGTAGGGGGAGGGCGCCCCCCTTCCCCCCCCCCCCAACCCGGCATTGCGGAGTCCGGGGAAGTGGGCAGTGCGCCTTCAGGAGCGCGAAGCAGCAGCGGGGGTCAGCCGGGTCGGCGGGTGGGGGGCGGCCGTCCGAGTGTGCATCTTGACCGAGGGCAGAGGGGAGGAAGCGGGGAGAGCGGGCGTCGCAGGGTGATTGGCGGAGAGCGTCAGCGCAAGGGCAGGGGTGCGGGCACCACTCCCGAATCCAGGCTCCAGCGGGTCCCTGCGTGATGCCCGGGGGCCAGGGGGCGCCGGCCTCTCCCCGGGCGGCCGGGAGCGCCCCGGACAGGGCGGCGTCGAGGCCCGCGGCCCGGCCCTCGCCCCAGCCGGCGGCGGCCGCGGGGCGCCCCGAGTCCGCGGCCCCCGGGCGGGGCGCGCTGCGCGCCAGCGTCCCGCGGAAGCTGGCCGAGGCGCTGAGCAGCCAGTACGGGCTGGTGGTGTTCGCGGCGGGGTTGCTGCTGCTGCTGGCCTGGGCCGTGCACGCCGCGGGGGTGGGCAGGAGCGACCTGCTCTGCTTCCTCACGGCGCTCATGCTGCTGCAGCTGCTCTGGATGCTGTGGTACGTGGGCCGCAGCGCCGCGCACCGCCACCTCCTCCGCCCCAAGGACGCGCACGCCGGCGCGCGCTGGCTCCGCGGTGAGTCCCCGCAGGCAGGTGCGGCCCGGCGCCCCCCTGCCTTCCGCTCCGGCTCCCCTGCAGCTTGTCTGGCTCCCCCGCCTCCCTTCCTTCTTTTTCTTCCTTGAGCCTGGATGGCCGCAGGGCCCCCTCTCTCTGCCAGGCTCTCCTTACGCATTCCAGCCTAAGAGCCACAGCCGCACAAACCTGCTCCCGTCTTTTCCTTGGCTGAAATTCCTGCGGTGGATGCATCGACCCCACCAGGGAGGCCGCAGGCCCCGTCCTGGCATTCAGGACCTTCTAAGGTCGGCCCCTCCTGCCCCCCAAATGCCTTCTAGTTTTATCCTCTCCTTCGCCCTCAATCTGGGCTCCAGCCTGAAAGCTCTTAGTTCTCATTACAGTGTTTCGTGTCTCCATGCCTTCGCATATTCTGTTCCCTCCTCCTGCAGTGCATTCCACCTGCTTTCCAGAACAGGCTCGGGCCTCACTCCGTCCCCTCCAGTGGTGCTTTTCTGATTCCCCTGCTCTTTGTGGTCTGACCACACCCCTCCACCCCCCACCATGCCCTGGGAAGATGCTGTCCCTGTTGATACTTCTGTCCCCTGCCACCACCCTTGGGGAGCTCTGTGATGCTCATCTCTCAGTCCCAGAGCCACCTCCTGGTCTGGCTCTGGCCTAGAGGAGATGCTAAGGGCATGCAGCTGGGGCGAATGGACTCGTGGATAAATGGATAAATCCTGGGGCAGTGGAGGGCAGAAGCACTTGCTAGGGACTCACAGCGTGCTGACTGGGACATTGCCAAATAGAAGGTTCCCCTCCTGAAGGAGCTTCCGCTCTTGAAAGGGAACTAGACACGATGCAGAGGGAGGAGGCCGTAGGGAGTCAACTGAGGAGACAGTCACTGAGAAACCTTCATGGGAGAGGCTGGGTACGTGTCGCTCCGCGCGGACCACACACAGGGCACCTCTCTACGTGAATTCTCATCAGGTCTGAATTTAAATCTGCCCTAGAGGGTGGCTGTTCTTGTCTTTCCATGGCCTCGGGCACGTGACATAATTCATCCATCCATCCACCCTCTGCGCTCCAGCAGGTTGGGAATCACACGCTTGGGGGGACCAGTGACGGCTGGCGGGGTTCAGGCTGGGGCGCCCAGCACACATCCACTCCCCTTCCCACCCACATCCCTTCAGAGGTCTGGCCCCGGTGACGTCTCCACCCCGCCCGCCAGGATTTACTCCTTGCTCCCTGCGGCCACGGTGGCTTTCTGTGTGTAGAGCCGGTTTGCTCCATGACGGCTTCCACCTTGTATTATGGCTAGTTGGATACGAGCCATGTCGCAGGATGAGATTTCAGGCTTCGTAGCCTCAGGGACTGCGTCTAGTTCATCTTGCCTTTGGAAAAACTGGATCCGACTCCAGACCGGCCCAAGTTCCTGCTCTGAAAATCGTTGTTTTAAGGAGATTCATGGTTCTGTGACTCTGAATGGTGGGGAATCCAATGCCTTTTCCAGTGTTTGAATCAAACAAATAAGTGGGAATGAAATGTTATTTTGAGGATATTGATTTACACGGGCTAAAAAATATTATACACATAGGCTTTTGACCTATGCTTTCCTATAGTGGAAGTTTCCTTTCTTTGACCCTCCTTGCTTCTTCCCTTCCTCTTCCCTCCTCCTTGGCCCCTTCCTTCTACCACCCTCCCATCCCCTGCTCTTCCCCTCTCTCTCCCTCCTCTCCCCCCCCCCCCCCCCCCCCCCCCCCCCCCCCCCCCCCCCCCCGCCCAGGAAGACTCGAAGCCTTGTGATCTGAGTCAGTGGCTGAATGGTGGTGCTATTTCCCAAGATTAAGAAGACAGAGAGAGGAGCAGGGGTGAGGATGTAGAATCACATTTCTTCTTGTGCACACGTTACATTTGAGATGTCTATTAGACACCGAGTAGTGGCAATATAGAGAGAGCACATAGTAGATGTTCAATAAATGGCGGCCGTTGAGACGAACACGATAACATAAGCATTCAGATGAGGTGTGGGGATGATGGTAATGGTGCTGGCCCTCGAGGGCCTGGCTCCGTGTCCCAGCTCTGTTACCTTCACCTTCCGAGCCCCTGTTTCCTCATCAGTAAAATAAGAATCCCAGTTGTTTCTCAGGAAAGAGCTGAGCGCAGTTTGCAAAGCACTGAGGTCCCTGTGAATGAGCTGTGGTTCATCAAAAAGCAAGAGGCTAATTGTCTCGGAAGAACATTGGGAGGCTGTGGTCTCAAGGAAAATGCATCAGCCCTGGCCAGTGCTAGGTTTTCCTTGGAATCATAGCTGGGAAGACAGGTTCGACTCAGCTCTGCCCTGGCTTCTGTGACAGTCGTAGGCGTCCGGGGCTCTGAGACAGAGGCAGCCTGTGGAATTCGGGGCACTGATGTTTTCAGAGAAAGTCTCTGGGTCTTGGTATGGGCTGAGGCATGTCTCTGAGCAGAAAACATTCTGCTCCACCTACTGAGCATGAGAAAGTGAAAATTGCCTCTGGAACAAATAATATTGATGTATTAAAATATTTAGTAGACATGACAGACTATTACTCCATCTCCTCGGTTTGCTGAGTAAAGACGTTGGTTTTTTCTGGAAGGAATGACAGCAGCCTGGCTCTCTCGCTCCTGCCCAGTGGGTTCTGTGACATCCAACTCAGTGAGTCGCTGTTTCTATTGTTGCTAGTCCGTAAAAGACTGCAGCGGTTTACTTCCCAGGGATAGGATTTTGTTGTGACTATTTTGTCTCAAGTCCTGAGAAGTGTCATTAACACACAATTATGGGAACAATGACAATAAGAATAAAAGCTGCATTTATTCAGTGAGTTCAGAACGCAGGCACGTTAGAAGCATTATTTGTCTCAATTATTTGTCACAGCGATTTTTTTTTCAATGCTTGTGAGTGATCACCCCCAAATTGACTCCTTTTATAAGATCAGATTTTTACATAATACTTTTTTTTTTAAAATGAGACCCACCTGTGTATATGGTACATCTCTGTCCCCCATGCCGCCCCTGGAAACGGGCTGCTCACAGCACTGTGGCCATCATCCCTTCAAGGACTGGTAGTGGCGGACAGAGGTGTGCTGCTCATGTGAGACCAGCCCACGGGTGGTGGGTGACAGGCTGCCAAGTTAAAGGTCAGGAACGTGATGAGGGGTTTGGGAAAAGGGCTGTCCCCACGTATGAGAGTAAGCGGGAGCTGATAAATGAGACGGGTCCCAGTGTGTGTATGGAGATGGCGGGTGCCACGGGAGGATGGCATCAGAGAGCAGCAGATGGGGGGGGAGGGACAAAGGCATAGAACACAGAGATGCAACAGTTGAGCTGCCCATTACTGGCATGTTTAACAGTGAGAAAGTGGGGCGCCTGGGTGGCTTAGTCGGTTAAGCGTCCGACTTTCGCTTAGGTCATGATCTCGCGGTTCGTGGGTTCGAGCCCCGCGTCGGGCTCTGTGCTGACTGCCAGCTCAGAGCCTGGAGCCTGTTTCAGAGTCTGTATCTCCCTCTCTCTTTGACCCTCCCCTGCTCACGCTGTCTCTCTCTCTCCTAGAAATAAATAAAAATATTAAAAAAAAAAAAAACAACAGTGAGAAAGTGAAGAGGGATAAGCTCCTTGCTTCCGGGCAGATGACACGATACCAACAGGTGTCAGAGAAGGCAAAAATCGACTTCCTTTTTGTTGTCTGTCTTCTTCATCCAGCAGAAGGATCTCGGGATCTTGCAAAGAACAACAGAGAAGGGAGCCAAGTGCACAGCTTGGAAATCTTCATGGTGGTTGGGCAGAGCTTTTGGTCTGGTTTTGTTTGACGGCCCGGACTGAGCTCCCAGGACTGGCTGAGCTCTGGGGATGGCGGGACCATCGGGCATGGCCTGGCACAGAGGGGTGCAGACAATGAGGAAAACAGAACCTGATGGGTAAGAGCATGCCCCTTTCTCTGGGCATGTAGCTCTGCTTCTGCCTCAGTTTCCTCGTCTGTAATATGGGGATGATGATACCACACATCACATAGGGTTGTTATGAGACTCTGAGTTAGTACATACAAAATGCTTAGAAGCCTCTGGCACATTGCAAGAGAAATGTCTTATGAAATACACGATTCGGCATTATAATGTGCAGGTGCAGCGGATGTGTTGAGGGAAGCAGAAGAGCAGCTGGGGGGGGGGGGATGTGAGGGTTTAGGGATTTAGGGAAGAGTCCCCAGAGGAAGGCCTTTTGTTTTTGCTGGAGCCTGGAAAGAAACATTAAAAACCATTTCAAAATGATAAAAGAATACACAGAATACAGCAAACTGAGCATGACAGTAACACCCGGCAAAGTCCAGGAGCAGATCGACTTGGCTGGGGGGGGTTTGAGCAATTCCCTCGGGAAAGAGAATAGTGGGACCCCACGACCCAGCCTAGGGTCACGATGAGAGACTTTTGCCTAATTGCCTGCATTTTCTTACATATTATCCTTTGGATGAGATTTTTTTCTTCTCTAATACAAACTATAAGCATAATGTCAGGATTTCAGCATCAACAAGATAGTGAGGCTGCCCAGAAAGCTGGGCCAAGCATCACATGTGCACCTGTAGGAGGGTGGCCCCAGGAGGGACAAAGGGTGTCCAGTCCAGAGGGAGAGGAGGGGGCAGGCAACCTCACTCCCATCAGCTCCAGACCATCCTTCAGCTTCTGGAGAGCAGAGTCACTTCTTTAGGGAAGCCTTTCCTGGTATCTTCACCAGGTGTGGATTCCAAGATCTTCCATTTTCTTCTTAACACAAACCAAGCAGGAGATTGTGTGATTCAGTTTGTCTGTCTCACCAGATGGTGAGCTCTTGGAGGCAGAGCCCCTGTCTGAATGTGAGGCAGAGCCCCTCATTATAGCCTGAGCTCCTGGCACAGTGCCTGACATGTAACAAGTGCCAGATGGGATTTACTGAATCACCAAGTGAATGGATGGGTGAATGAATGAATGAATGAGTGAATGATGACAGAATCTCTAAGGAAGAAGATGACAGTTCCA